GTGGGCACAAACTACTAAGAGTGATCGTAGCTTTGCTTAGTTCCTTAGTGCTTGCGCATTCATAGGAGAAATCGGCAAGAGTTCCACTAGGCGAAGATTACACTTTAGAATGATTGAACAAGCAATGACAGAAATGACCATATCAGGCACCTAGCAACTCTGCAGCTAGCCTGGTCGACCGCCAGCACTGCATGGTCGACCTATCGCCGCCAGCGTTGCGTAGGGGAGCCGCGCCAGCACTGCAGAAAGGGGAACTGCCAACACAGCAGGTCGACGGCGTGCCAACGCTGCAACAGTGCGGCTGTCTAGCGTTGCACCCGTAGATGGCAGCAGTGCGCACGCTCGCAGGTGCGTGCAGACGATTGGCCCGACTTGCACCGTTGTGCATCCGTCGGCTGTTGTCTGCGCCTGATGAGCCACATCGACTTCGGGATACCAGCCCAAAGTCGCCTTCGTCACTGCTACCTCGACGATGTTCGCGTGCCTTCGCAAAATTCGCCGAGTAGGTTACCTGGTCGGCCTGGTCGACCACCAAGTGCTCTGGTCGACCACATCTTCCGTCAAGCTACCCCCCTGGTCGACGGGCCCCCTTCATCGACCAGAACTATCAGCTGTTGTCGCCGACCTCCCCTCGTCGACCGCTGCTCACTTGTCAGGTCGACGGACTGCTCCGTCGACCTCCCGGTCGAACTGCCCCTCCTGGTCAAAGGCCCACCCGTCGACCAGCCCAATTGGCTGTAGCTGTCGAGCTCCTTGGTTGACGGCTCCAGCCCTGTGACAGTTCTGTGCAGGTCGACAGCCACCTCGTTGACCTGCCCTGCAGAAGAAGGCCGTCGAGCACTCCTGGTCGACGACGACACTACAGTGAACCCCTGCAGCTCGAGCCCGTCAAGCAGCTCCTTCACTGCGAACGGTCGGCTGCTTCTCCCGTACATCCGACCAAGTCGTTGGCGTTGCCCAAGCGAGGGCGGGGCCAACACTCCACTCCCGTTAACACTCCCCGGCCGTGCTCACGCTAGGGCAGCGTGCACCCCACGGAGAAAACTCGTCCTCAGCGTGCACCCCACACATAGCACGCCGTCACCGCACCAGCCGTGCAGAAGGGCACGGCACCTACTGCTGCACCTTGTCGTCACTATCGCTGACGTTGGCCAGGTGCACTTGGCCGATGGCGACAGAGCACCGGTTGAAGGCCGGAAAGTGCAGCGCCTTTGTCAGGAAGTCGGCCGGCTGCTCGGTGGTCGGGATGTACTTCAGCACGAACTTCCCGCGCCTCACCATGTGCTTCATAGCGTCGCTCCATGTGCTTGAGGTTGCCTGTCAGCCCCAAGCTCTCAGCGACCGTAATTGCCGACTTGTTGTCCACACGGAGGACAGTCGGCTTCCCAGCGTCGAGCAACTTGAATTCTGCAAGGAGGAAGCGAAGTCGACGCCCCTCCTTGCCGGCGTCCGTGGCCGCGACGTACTCTGACTCGGTCGAGGAGAGCGTCGCGCACTTGATGCGCTGGCTCGACCAGGAGACCGCGGCTTCCCCGAGGATGAATACGTAGCCGCCCGTGCTCGTCCGGTTCTGCTTGTCGCCCACATCGTCGGCGTCCACATAGCCGATCAGCTCCATCGACTCTGGTCCACCGCCAAACTCCAGGGCGGTGTCGCGGGTGTCAGCGAGGTAGGCGAGGCAGCGGTCGACCTCGCGCCAGTGCTGGTCGCTCCTCACTGTGAGGCCGCTCCCCAGCTTGCTGCAAGCGAAGGCGATGTCCAGCCTTGTCGCCGTCGCCACAAACTGCAGTGAGCCAACCATCTGCCGGTACTCCTCCTGCTCGCGCTCCTGCGCCTCTTCGTCGTCGAATGTTGGCTCGGTGTAGGCGTCGACAAAGACCAGCATCTTCGAGACTCGACCGCCCTGGTCCTCGTCGATGAAGCGCCTGCGCAGCTTGTCGGCGTAGTTCTGCTGGTGCAGCCACCACTTCCTCCCCTGACTGTCGCGCATGATCTCCAGCCCGAGGTACTTCATCACCTGCGAGATCTCACGCAGCTCGAAGGCGGCCTCCAGCAGTTCCTTCAGCTCCTTCAGCATCGCGGTGCTGCTGCTGGTGGCGAGCAGGTCGTCGACGTAGACCAGCACCCAGCAGGTCACTCCGTCGTCGCCGGTCTTGAAGTAGAGCGCCTCGTCGACCTGACTCTTCTTCCAGCCAGCGCCGACCAGCAGCACACTGTCGAGAGCCCTGTACCACAACAGCGGCGACTGCTTCAGCCCGTACAGGCTCTTCAGCAGCTTGCACACCTGGCCGGTCCCGTCGTCGAAGTAGTCCGGCTGGTACATGTAGAGCACGCGGTCGAGCTTGCTCTGCAGGAAAGCGTTCTTCATGTCGAGCTGCATCAGGTTGAGGTCGAGGACGGCGGGCGGCGATGCTAAGGAAGATCCTCAGCGTGACGTAGCTGCTCATTGGTGAGTACGTCTCGTCGCAGTCGGTGCCGTACATCCGCTTAAAGCCCTTCAAGACCAGCCTTGCCTTCTCACGCTCGACGGTGTCGTCGATGTGGTACTTGGTCGTCAGCACCCACCGGTTCTTCATGATGTTTATCCCGCGTGGACGTTCGACCAGCTCCCATATGCCCATGCCGATAAGGCTGCGAATCTCCTCTTCCGTGGCGGCCTTCACTGCCTCGCCCTTCCATCTCGCCATCGCCTCCTTCACCGTCTTCGTGGCGATATCCCAGCGGTGTTCGGTGTCAGCATGTATGTTGGGGTCGAGCTCTAGCAGGTTGACGTCATCTTCGGCGTCGTCGTAGAGCAAATCATCGTCGGCTCCGTCGTACACCGTGGTGAAAGCAGCTAGGGGCAGGCAGGCGTGGAAGACTAGCCGCTCTAGCGGCTTCCGAGTTCGACCTGTGCGTCGCAGCTCAGACCTCTTGATTGGAACCTCCACCACATTACTGTCGGTGGACTCCTCTCCTGTCGACAGCTTTCCTTCATCGTGGACCGCCTCATCGTCGACGTGCTGCTTCGCCAGCGTTGACCCTTCGACCGGCCGCTCCCCTCTCGACTGTCCTGTCTGCTGCGCCCTGTCGAGTGCACCCTAGCTGCTGCCTCCTGTTCGACCGGCTCCCCTGTCTGCTGCTCCCTTGACGTCGACGGCTTCCCGTTCTAGTCAACGAGATTAGCGCCTCGTCGGCCGCCGGCGATGCCACTGGCCGGCGCCACAGGCGACGCCTCAAGGCTCCCCTCATCGCCGGTGGCCGACACAGGTGTCAAGATAGGCCGATCTGCGACGGGGGTGGGAGGAGCAAGAACAGGGGGAGGAGGGAGACATTCCTCGACGTCCTCAGCAGCAAGCTCGTCAATTTTGGCGAGCAATGGGACCGTCGCCGTCAAGGTGTCCGTCGACGGGTGTGCCTCCGTGCGCCCCGACGCTGGCCCATGCTTCGCCTTCCACATCTCTAGCGACAGCGTCTCGTAGAAGACCACCTCGACCAACGTGACTACCTTGCTGTTGGTCAAGTGCAGCACCTCCCAGCCCTTGCTCTCCGGCGACACACCCAGGTGAAGCCCCCAGCGAGCCTTCGGCGCCAGCTTCCCACCGCGCTGCTGCTCAGGAACCATGAACTGCACCATGCAGCCCCACACCCGTGCCAGTGTGAGGTCGGGCTTCTTCCCTGTGAGTATCTGGTAAGGCGTTGTCCTCGGCGGCGTTGTCGACCGCTCCAAGCAGTTGCGCACCCAGACAGCTTGGCGAAGGGCGAGGTGCCACCAGTGGTGCTGCACGCCCATGTGCAACAGCATCGTCCGCACGGACTCAACCACCATCCGCATCTCCCGCTCAGCCATGCCGTTCTGTTTCGGAGTGTAGGGGCAGGTCAGGTCGTGTACGATGCCGTTCCCGTCGATGACGTCAGTAAACTCCTTCCCGGGGAACTCGCCGCCGCGGTCGGAGCGGAGGATCAGCACTGACGCTCCACCAGCACCAGCCACTTCTCGAACTCCCGCAGCACGTCGCTCTTCTTAGCGACCGGCATCATCCATACGAACCGAGTGTGGCGATCCTTCAGCAGCAGGAAGTACAAGCTACTGTCTTTGGCAGCCACCCGAAATGGCCCGCACAAGTCAATGTGCACGACAGCCAGTGCCTCCTCGGCGTCCGAGCCCTTGTCGGGGAAGGTGTGCCGCGCCAGCTTCCCTCCGACGCACAAAACACACGGCGGTTCCACTCCGGTCGACGGTTTGATGTCGAGCCTAGTAGCAACCTCATGCAGCGGCGAGCTCTTGATCGTGTAGATGCCAACGTGCGCGAGCCTCGCATGCCACCGGTCGGGGTTCGACTTCGTCCCTGAGGCGATCGTCCGCAGAGCCACCACCTCGGTCGACGGCGACTGCGTCGAGGAGGGACGAAGGTCAGTGCAGAGGACTCGACCCGTGTAGCGTGCTCGACCGAGTACCTCCCCAATCGCAGCGACAAGCAGCATCTCGTCGCCATCGCTCTGCAGCTGCACACCGCTCTCCTTCAGTTGGCCAGCTGACAGCAGGTTCGCCTGTACTCCCGGAACGTAGAGCACGTCGGGGATGAGGACCCGCTTGCGGAAGGAGCTCCATGGGCTGCTCTGCCTCCCGCATAGCCTCGTCTTGAAGGATGTAGCTGGTGATGGAGTCCTCGTCGAGGGACTCACGCGTGCCGGGCACCATCATCATCCTCTTCATGAGGTTGTAATTGTGTGGCAGGCCGTTGACGACATGGGTGATGTAGGACGCCGTAGAGTATTCGGCGCCCGCCATCCGCATCTCAGCCAGGATCCGTCGAGCACGGTTGCAGTAGTCTGTCGCGGACTCCTGCTCAGCCATCGGAAGTTGTGTCATTTGCTTCTCCAACTGTCCGATGTACAGGTCGTCCTTCGCCTGGTACGTCGACAGGATGAAGTGCCATGCTTGGTGACCAGCATCCAGTCGCTCTCGACAGCTCCTGAGCGCTAGCTGCACCACCGGCGAGCAGCACCTCGAGATGACCATGAAGGTGAGCAAGTGAGCAGCACGAAACTCCCCGCGCAGCTCGACATCCTCCTCGGGCGGAATGGGCACGGTGCCGTCGGCGAAGCCCTTCAGCCCGGCGACCTCCAGCTGAGGTTCAATCGACTCCCTCCAGGTGATGAGGTCACGTCGACCTTGCAACGGTGTGACGGTGATCCGGTCCGGTGAAAACTTGAAGTAGCCATACGCCGGTGCAATCCCGCCCGCCGTCATGTGCATCGTCGCCGAGAGTCCTCCACCGCTACGCAGAGGAGAGCGACGTCGACCATCAATGTCGGGACGCGAGCTGCCTGCAGCCGCCGTCGACCGCTGCACTCGCGCCTGACTCCTGTCGACGCCATCGTTGACCTTGATCACCCCTCTCTTCTTCGTGTCATCGCTGCCGCTGACTCGTGCACCGCCGTCGACCTCGTCGTCGACGCTATCGTCGTGTCGTACCGGCCGAGGAGAAGCACGACGGGAAGGGTGATCCGTCGCCCACTGCGCCCGGATGCCCAACTCGACGATCGTCAAGGGGATCGTCCCGTACTCGCCATCCGCGTGGCATCTCCTAGCATCATCCAATCGTGCCTCCAAAGTGTCTGCTACGCCCGCATCAACTACGAGGTCGACCATGGCGACTAGAACGGCTGCTGGCCTACGAACGACTTAGTAGGTGCAAAATTCGGCTCCTATCTGAAGGTAATCTGCGGGGCCGTCCACGCTCACCGCACCATGCGGAGAGTCACTCTACAATGGTCGTGAGCTAGACTACGGGGGGGGAAGGGTTGGCACGAACTACTAGGAGTGATCGTAGCTTTGCTTAGTTCCTTAGTGCTTGCACATTCACGGGAGAAATCGGCAAGAGTTCCAATAGGCAAAGATTACATTTTAGAATGATTGAACAAGCAATGACAGAAATGACTACATCAGGCACCTAGCAACTCTGCAGCTAGCCTAGTCGACCGCCAGCACTGCATGGCAGAAGAAGAAGAAGAAGAAGAAGAAGAAGAAGAAGAAGAAGAAGAAGAAGAAGAAGAAGAAGAAGAAGAAGAAGAAGAAGAAGAAGAAGAAGAAGAAGAAGAAGAAGAAGAAGAAGAAGAAGAAGAAGAAGAAGAAGAAGACGGAGCACGCCGCGAGCCACTTCTTCCATGTTGGAGGCAAGAGGGAGAAAGGAGACGGTTCTGCCAAGGTTGGAGCAGAGCTGCACTCCCTCATCCGCCTCTGGACACGTGTTGAAGGTGGCTGGTGCATGAATTTAAGGGAACGGATGGCAAGCCAGTGGTGCTGCACTGCGTTCTTCTCGTCCCCGATCTCAAGACCAACCTGATCTCCCTCTGTAAGCTTACCAAATCTAGGGTGAGCATTAGCACGGATAGGGCACGCACTTACAAGGGGCAGTTGGTCGATCGGGTGCTTTGGGATCTGCACGAGAGCAAAGATATGTACAGATCTATGTGGCAGCTGCTGGCATTTGTGTGGCAGGGTGCGGGGCAGGCTAGAGAGTGGTCTGCGTCCCAGGGGGAGTGCAACGCTGTTGGAGGGGTTGGTGTGAGATTGGGAAACGGCACATCGGCGCTTGGGGCATGTGGCAATGCCCTTGTTGAAGCAACTTGAGAAGGATGGAGTCGTGAAGTGTTTGAAGTTGAATGGACAGCCACTCGATGACAACTATAAAATCTGTTTGCACTCAAAATTCACCCGCTTCCTTTTCCATAGCGTGGCTGGCAGGAGCAAGAAGCCTTTGGAGCTGGTCCACGTTTTTTGGACTTGGAAGGGCCATTGCCGGTTTAGGGGCACAAGGGGGAGCGGTATTTCCGCACGACTGTGGATGATTGGAGCAGACTCACGTGGGCGTATCCGCTAAAGCAGAAGCACCATGTTGCCTCCACGGTACAAGATGAATGGCTGCTGTTCATGCTGAAGCGGATTAGGACAGATCGGAGTGGTGAGTTTCTTGGAGCTGAGATGACGGCCTGGCTATATAAGAAGCCGGGCATCCTGCCTAAAGGACCACGATGAATGGCACCACAGTGGAGATGCAATCAGAGTGTATGCTGAAGCGGATTAGGACAGTTCGGTGTGGTGACTTTCTTGGAACTGAGATGATGGCCTGCCTTAAGAAGCTGGGCATCCAGATGGAGCTCACCACGGCTTACATCCCACAGTCCAAAGGTGTAGCAAAACGGGCGTACTGGACCATTCTAGAGACAGCTAGGGCACTTCTTATAGTATCTGGGTTGGGCAACTCCATGTGACCCCATACTGTCTGGCACACTACTGTGGCTAGGAACAGGGTGCTCACCAAGGTTGGTGATGATTCCTGGGTGCCGTTGGAAAGGTGGCTTGGGAGGAAGCCGCCGGTGGACATGCTGAGGGTGTTCGGTTGCATGGCAGTCGCCCACGTCCCCAAAACCTACCGCAGTAAGTTGGGGGCGAGTGCAATCTGGTGTGTGCATTTGGGGCTGGCTGCCGAGAGCAAGGGATGGCTGCTGTAGGAACCATCCAAGGGTATCATGTTTGATACAAAGGATGTGAAATTCATGGAGGGCATGATATATGGGAGTTGGGAGAAACAGTTGGAGGCCAAAGAGTCCCAAAAGATGGAGCAGATCACCATGCAGCTGGACTTGGATCCTAGTGTGTGGGAGGAGCGAGAGGAGGCAGCTACAGAGGGTGGTGAAGGACAGAAAGTACAGGAGGGACCAGCTGGTGGAGGAGATGGTGTAGAGACTAGTGGTAGCACTGGTGGAGCTGTTGGATCTGGGGGTGGAGAGCAGCAGCAGGGAAAGGCTAGAGCTTCTACACTACCACAAGGGAGGAAGCCAAAGGGTGTTATGATAAGGGGATTGGAAACACCGGTCAGCAGGCCAGAACGTACCCGTATGGCAAAAAGGAATTGTTGGTGTAAGGGCCTAATAAACTCAAGCTATTAAGACTTAATCAAACTCAAAACTCTCTCCTCGGGGTCACCTCCAAGGGTCCCTGGGTGCCTGGTACAGGACCAGCCCCTATCGTTAGGTCCGAGTTTGTAGAAAGAGGAGTTAAGAATGACTTAGCCAAAATAACGAGAGTACCTTGAACGTTGCGCAGCGTGCCGTGCAGACCGTCGATCGGATTAAGCTGACAATTTGCTATAACGAAGCTCGCTCCAAGAGCTTTAAAACGAGCCAAGTTGCCTCGCGAAAAGTTCTGCCATTATGAAGTTATGGCTCAGACAGCTTTTGCCTAGCGTTGAAGTGCTAGCATACTAGCGTTGACTCGGGTAGCATTCCGCCGTCGAATAGCGCAGAAACAAAACTCCAGCGAGGAAGGAATTCGCTTGAATCAATTGACTATTTTGAGGTACAAATAGAGAAGGAATAAATACTTCTAGCTAGCAAGGACCTTGGGAATCAACCTGGGAACAACCAGGGATGATCCCAAATAATTCCAAGCAACAGAACCAACCTGGCTGGACAAAATAGCAGGTGGTAGGTTGGCAAACAACCTCTGGTTCTGTTTTTCCAACCTGGAAAAACAACAACCAGGCTCAGGTTCTAAAAACAGAACCTGTTTTGTCTTTGCCCAACCAGCCAAATGCTGGTTCCGCTGGTTTCCCCTGGCCCTGTAGCATGCAGATACAAACAAACAACATCCAACCTTCACCTAAATTGTACCCCTATAGTGCCTGCCCTGCTACACTATAGTCAACCAAACAAAACAGTACAATTTCGAGTTGGATAGAACTGAATCTGCGCAATCAATTCAACCGAACCGCAAAGCTTCCATCTTGGGTTCCTTTGCGAGCTCGTCCTTTCTGCTTGCACTGTTCATAGCGCGTACAATGTTGTGCCGAAACGCACATTGCGCAAGTACCTGCAAATGCATCAAGCGAAAATTGTGAAAGCAAACAAACACACGAACATTCCATTCACACGCAAATGCATTCGCACACGCATACTCGTACAAACAGATGGCAGGATGTCGTGCAATATGAATTTGCACCCAACAGGAATCTGACTGCATGATCTGATGTCGCAGAGCAGCTGCTTCAGAATGGGCAGACTTTGCCTAATGGCCTGACCCGGATGAGGAGGACGAACGTGCTTAATGTTTTCTTGACCCTGCACCAGAGGAGCCAGCTGAAGAATAAGACTTGGGATCTGGTGGTGCTCCCTAAGGGGAAGAAAGTGGTACAGTGCAAGTGGGTGCTGAGGATCAAGACCGATGACAAGGGGCAAGTCACCATCTACAAGAGTAGGTTGATGGCTCAGGGGTTTCAGCGAAAGGAGAAGCAGGACTTTAACGTGATCTTTGCTCCCACTGCCAAACCTCCTACCCTTCGTGTGTTGTTGGCATCTGCACCCATTAGAGGGAAGTAATTTATTCAGATAGATTTATCAACAGCATTCCTCTATGGGATTTTAGATGAGGATGGTGTACATGATGCAGCCACATGGGTATGAGGATGGTACAGGCAGGGTGTGCAAGCAAGCTAAAAAAATCCATCTACAGCTTGAAGCAGGCGCCACGCTGCTGGTACTAGAAGATGGCAGCTCCTTTGGAGGAGATTGGATTTAGGACCAGCAGCTGGGATGAGAGCCTCTTTCTCAAGGGAGAGGGGGAGAAGCTGGTGATGTCTCTAGTATACGTGGACGACATTCTTCTCTTCAGCAGCAGCATGAAGGAGATCCAGAAAGTGCAGCAGCAGCTGATGGAGAGTTTCAAGTACAAGACCCTTGGAGAGGTAAAGTATTACCTCACGATGCACATGGAGAGGGATCAGAATTACAGGTGGTTGAAGCTGCACCAGAAGAAGTTCATCAAGGAGCTGGGGGAGAAGTATGGGGTTGCGAATGGGCGTAAGGTTGCAACTCCACCGCCAGTTGAATTCAAGCTTTTAAAGGCTGCTGAGGATGAATGGGTTGAAGCCGAGGAGCAGCAGCATTTTCAGTTTCTGGTGGGCACCCTCTTGTACGCAATTGTTTACACAACGCCCGACATCTCATTTTCGGATGACAGCTGGCTAGGGTGGTGCAGAATCCATCTGAGGAGCAGGTAGATGCAACTGAAAGTGTTGTGAAGTATTTGAACTCGTACCCAAGCATTGGAGTTCTTTTCTTTGCATCTGCACAGGTGAAGCAGAAGGGAATTGAGGTGCTGAAGGAGAAGGGGGAGAGGCTTGGAGAAGGCAAGCTATATCCCACTTCCATTACTGATGCTACTTGGGCTTCCGAGAAGGAGGATTCCTCATCGGTTGGAGGGTATATATGCCTGGTTGGGGGAGTACCAGTTAGTTGGAGGTCCAAGAAACAAACAGAGACAACACTTTCTTTGGTGGAGTCGGAGTACATGGCGATGTTTCATGGAATGAAGGACGTGATTTGGCTGAGGATGTTCTTAGAGGAGAATGGCCAGGAGCAGAAACTTGCTACACCACTCTTTTGTGATAGCAAGGAGGCTATTTGGATGGCCTAAAACGCTGTGATTAAGTGGCTGAACAAGCACATGCGTATCAAATGGCACTGGCTGCGTAAGGAGGTGAAGAAGGGGACACAACCCGATATACATCAAGTCTCACCAGCAGCCAGCAAACGTCCTCATCAAGAGGCTTGCGGATGAGCCTCATTGGTGTTGTGTGCGCATGAGTGGAATGAGCATAAACTAGCATGGAATAATGGATATGGAACCGGGAGGCTGAGGGTGAGTGTGTTGGGTGCAAATTCACTTTGCACGACATCCTACTGTCAGTTTGTACAAGTATTTGTATACGAATGCATTTGCGCGTGCATGGTGTGTTCGTGGGTTTGTTTGCTTTCGAAAATTTCGCTTGATGCATATGCGAACGTTGTACGCGCAATAAACAGTGCAAGCAAAAAGGACGAGCTCGCAAAGGAACCCAAGATGGAAGCTTTGCTGTTCGGTTGATTTGAATGTGCAGATTCAGTTATATCCAACTTTAAATTGTCTTGTTTTGTTTGGTTAAGTATAGTGTAGCAGGGCAGGGACTATAAGGGTATATTTAGGTGAAGGCTGGATGTTGTTTGTCTGTATCTGCGTGCAGGGGAAACTAGCACAACCAGTATTTGGTCGCTTGGGCAATGACAAAATAGGTAGCGTTTTTAGGACCTAAACTTGTTGTTTTCTGAGGTTGCAAAAACAGAACTAGAGGTTGTTTACCAACCTACCACTTGCTATTTTGTCCAGCCAGATTGTTTCTGTTGCTTGGAATTATTTGGGATCATCCCCTGATGTTCCCAGGTTGATTCCCTACTGGCTCAAGCTATTTATTCCTTTTTTGTTTTTACTCTGGATATAGTCAAATTGATTAAAGCGAATTCCTTCTGGCTGAAATTTCGTCTCTACGCGGTACGACGGTGGAATGCTTCCCGAGTCA